AAATTGCTTCAAGTCAGTGTGAGAACAAGTAGACATGATAACATGTATTCCTGTTCAAAACAACTACTCAGCTATTATTAGCAAGAAATTCTACATGAAATAGAGCTGGCTAAGGAGATGGGAAAGAGAGAACACTGACTCAGTATTCGGCTCAGCCTGAAAGTTTAAATTCCTAGGTTCTTTCAGTGTTTTTGTTCAAAAAGTTTTTAGTCTGACTTCAGATGGTTAAAAGCACCCTGAAGAACAAAGGGAGGCAGTGTGACGGGGAAAAAGGCACAGGCTAAGATGAATGATGGTGATGGCTGCACAACACCGTGAATATACTTAATGCCACAGAACTATCCACTTAAAAATGGTTTAAATAGTAAAATTTTAAATGGCTTTGTTTAAAAGCAGCTCCTACCTCTGGCTGTGGGGCTTTGAACAAGTGGCTAGACATCTATGTCAGCTTACTCATCTACAAAACTGAGTTTTTAATAAGGTTGGCATTCTAAAGGTTGGCTGTGAAGATTGCATAAGGCAACATGTGTAATGACCTAGGTTGTCATTCATTCAACAAATATTTAATTAATGAGTATTTATCCATGTGCTAGGTACTCTGACCTGGGACAAGGAAATAGACAGCAAGATAGGGAAGACCTCGCCTCTGCAAAGCTTATAGTCTAGCAAACTGATGTAAACCAGGGCCACTTATATAAGGGTAACTCCAACTGCCCCTCACATTGTGGCGTATCAGTTCAAGGCAAATTTTCCTAGTTGAGGTGAAAAACGGGCTTGGTGCAACTGTACTGTTTCAATTGTACTGATTATCAGTTTAAACTGATTCAGAGTAGAATTTGGTGATGCTGATATGTGTTCCCTGATGAAATTCAATTTTGTAACTCACAAGCAGTATTGTTCAACCTTCGTTTTATAGATAAGGACAAAGATGAACTGACAGGTAAATAACTTGCCTTTGGCTATTAGAATTTGTTATTTATAATTATTATTATAGAATCAATTATTAATAAGTAAAATTTAGAGCCATATCTATTCAAAACCATAAAGCTTTTACTCAGAATTTTCCAATTATCTAATAACACTCTGAACATCAAATTTGAATATATTAATTACCAACATGAATTCCATAAACAAATTAGTTGTAACCTTCTTGAGCTAAATTCTTGAAAGGGGTCAAAAACCTAACCCTGTATATATTCGCGAACATAGAACATGTCTTTGTACTATGTATACATACATAAGACAAATTACTGGTCTTATCAGAAAAAATCATCTATGTACTGAATACCCAGTCAAGAACATCACCCAAAAATATGGGGGTAGAAAACAGTTAAGAAAATCAGGAAATCACAATTAAAGAGGGATTGCCAGAATTCTGAATATTAGCTCAGGTTCTCAGGAAAATAAAATTAGATATCTTCTCTTTCCATTCTCCGAACAAATAAGAAATTCAAAAAGATCAAAATTATTTATGAGAAAAGAAAACCATTCATCTTATTTGTACACAAATTAAGATGGGAAATCAAAATAATAAACCACTCCAGTGAAGCACAGACAACGGCATCTCTGGGCTTCAAGCAATACTTATCCCAAAGCACAACAAGTTTCCCTCACTTGTGGTGTGCCAATCATATGGCTACTAAGGCCGCAAGCCCACCAGAAATCAGGAAGGCCTGATACTATCTTTGAATGACTGAAAAAATCTGACTAGAAAAAGGACTAACAAATCACATGGAGGTTCTTACTAGGGCTTTCTAATATCAAAACTTGAATCTAACATGAAAGACCACAGAGAGGGGCCAAAAAAAAATGTACTTATGACTATCATAAATTTTAAGACCTGGGAAGAAACTGAGAATTTCACTGAAACAGAAAGATGACTGCAGGCAGGGAATCGGAGTTGGGCTAAAAAAGACTCTCAATATTTTCAAACCTAAAAATTAACTCATGGATGATACTATTTGACATGTGAAGACAGGAAGGAAAAAGAACTTGTGGAAAATTTCATTAAGAGGAACAATAAACTTCATACTGGCATTTACCCACTTCTTAGAGCTCTAGCGAGTCCAAGATGATTTTTCTTCTCTTTTCCTGGCTATTTATTGATCCACTAATTTTATTAGTTTTTAGAACTGGTCCTTCTCACTACTATCAGCAGTTATACCTTTCCCAAACAGAAAACAAGCATTCCACCATGAAAAAGGCAAGGCAGTGGCACTGTTTCTAGATTTAAAGAGATGTAACAACCAAATGCAATATAGGTCCTTGAGGCAGGCCTTTGACTGGATTCTGATTCTTTAAACAAACAAAAGGGTATAAAAGATAAAACTAAGCAAAAAAAAAAAAAAACCCATTAACCATTGTTAAATCTAGGTGGTAAGTATAAGGGTATACACTCTACGATTCTTTAAAATTGTCTACAGGTTTAAAAAGTTT